ATCTACTTGATTTTAACCATTTTTTAAATTTAAAAATTTTTAATTAGGTATGAAAATAGATTTTAAGATAATATTAAGAATTTTTTATAACAAAATTGCATGTTATGATAAAATTTTATGGTGCACCTTATTTGGATTGTTTAAGGTTGCAACCTTATAGAAACCGCACCTTAAAGTAACTGCCCTTTAATTTTTTTTTTTTTTTTTTTTGACAAATGTAACTGCCCTTAGTTTTTTTCTTCATCTCACGGTCTGAATTGTGGGCTCGACCATATTGAATCGTGGCCCCACTTGCTTCACAAGAAAAGGGTGCGGGCCATCTCAACAGCGAGGCTTGCAGCCATAATGATTATAGCCGATTTCAGGCTATTCATGGTGGCGTCTCTTTCTTCCTCGATCTTGGTAGACTTGCGATGTCTCCTTTCTCGTATTATAATCATCATCATCAAAGCATTATCTTAATTATTTGAAGTCAAATACACGAATCCTGGCCTGTCAAGGGACATGGCCTTAGTCATTGTTATCCTAACTATTGGGTGTCAAAACACACGCATCCTGGCCTGTCAAGGGACATGCCCTTAGTCAGATTATAAGTCACAATATATCTACACTACTTTTATTAGGAATTCATCTTGTCTTTTTAGATCCTTTTATTTGGATCAATTGGCTCCTCATAACTTGTGTTGTATAGGTCTACGCAGCACAATATCTTCCCCTCTATTTATTTATTTTTANGATAATGTTCTCTTGTTCTTTCGTATCATGCCTTTTAATTTCCATTTCACTTGAATACCAAAGGTTATGGAAGAGTGGATATTGGAATACGAGTAAAAGTGCCCCCTCATGCACTCTAGCGGGTGGGGTATTTTTCCCATAATATAAACTTGTAAGTCTTCATTCTCAAAAATCTGTTGGATATGGTTTATTATTTGGGTCTTCTTGCTCAAAAATGTCTAATATTTTGTTGGAAAGGCATGATTGACACATGAATGTTATGACGCCTAATACGAGTATTTGTTTATCCATTGGGCTTAGGAAAGTTCACATCTGTATCCTGCGTGATTAACTCTAATTGGGTCACCTTATGGGAAATGTGGTCTTTTTATCTATAGAGTAAAGCAGAGATCTCTGCACAAGGGGATAAGACCTCCATAAAGAAATAAACTTCTTAGAAAGAGACATCACACGGTGCCTCTTGTAGCGAGAGAGGTTAAATTTCTTTTGTTCACATAAAAATTTTGGGTGATATCTTTTTTAGTAAGAGAAAGTCTTGATTCCTCTATTGTTCTCTTTCTAGATAATAGTTTAGTTATAGGGTTGTTGAACTGAATTTTGTCGAGAATTAGAGAAGTAACTCTGTATTCCATGGATGTAGCCCATTTCCGATGAACTATATAGCTTGTGCTTGTGGTGTGTCCACTTTTGTATTTTATTTCTCATACTTGCATTATCGTTTATACTCTCCTATTTTATTTCTAGCCTGGTAAGTACACGATCCTTGTGATCCTTGTTGGATCTGAATATTCAGGATTTGTGTTCCATATGATATAACAAAACTAACATACCTAAATAACCTTCGTCTCTTGTTAAACAATTTTATTTGGTCAAGGGTAGCTTTGGTCATGTACTTGTGCTTAAGACGATTGCACAATAACTACATTATTTTTGTTGAGTTGATACTAGGGTTGTCAATCGGGTCAGGTCGACCCGATTTCAGTCTGGTTTTGGGTCTAGTTTTTTGGCTCGATAGGTAGGGCCAGCGTATAAAAAGTATGGACTTCATAATCAGGTCTAGGTCTAGCTAGGACCTAATTGGGTCGGGTCTAACTCAGGCCCGACCTGAACCATTATTTTCTATATATAAACTCATGTTTAATTGTATAAAATATTTTTTTATATTTTGAAGTGGACCGCGATGAACCTAACAGGTTGAGTCCGAGTCTGATTGATCGAGTCTGGAGCAGGTGTGGTGACCGTATCCAAGTCAAGACATTGGACTTAGCGGTGGGTTGGGAACCTGACCCGTTTACACCCCTAGTTTATATACATTCCATTTGATTGGATCATTCCAACTTCAATATCCTTACCCCTTTTACCCAAGGCGATTATGTAGTGTACTCTAGTAGACTTCTATGCCTAATGCTCTTGTAGTGTAACAAAGCTCATACGCATAGAAACTGCATTTAACTCTCACAAAGTATTGCAATGTAATCTCTTATCTTTGTTCAATTAGTTTGAGCTTACATTTAGTGCATGAATGGCATGCGTTTATTATACATTCCTTGTATGCATGTTTGTGCTGGAATCTTGCTTCTTTCATAGTGGTACATCTTATTATACATTCTCTGTTTGCATGTTTGTGCTGGAATCTTGCTTCTTCCAAAGTGGTACTGTAAAGTATGACAGAGTCTCTTGACCTTCAGCTTAGTGGTAGATATATTGGTTGGGTACTTGCGTTGAGGGAGGTCAAAGGTTGGAATCCCAGATAATCAAAAGGGGCTAATTTAATCCTTGTTTTTGTTTAAAAAAAAAAAAAAAAAAAAGGCTAATTAAATCCTCGTCGATAATGTGTGCAGCGGTTGTTGGAAGCAATTTCATCGCACGAGACATGTCATTTGAAAACTCGGCGGGTCCATCCAAGCACCAGGCAGTCGCGCTAAGAAGCGGTGCTGACTTGTCAGCCTTTTACCGATGCAGCTTTGTGGGCTACCAGGACACCCTCTATGTCCACTCTCTCCGCCAGTTCTACCGAGAGTGTGATGTCTATGGCACTGTGGATTTCATCTTTGGCAATGCAGCCGTTGTTCTCCAAGACTGCAACCTCTATGCTCGGAGACCAAACCCTAACCAAAGGAACTTGTTCACTGCACAAGGCCGAGTGGATCCCAATCAGAACACAGGAATATCCATACAAAATTGCAAAGTTGCCGCCGCTGCTGACCTTATCCCAGTGCAATCCTCATTTAAGAACTATCTTGGAAGGCCTTGGAAACAGTATTCTCGAACCATCTTCATGCAGTCAGATATAGGTGATTTGATCGATCCCGCAGGGTGGTTTGAATGGTCCGGTGATTTTGCACTGAGCACTCTGTACTATGGGGAGTACATGAACCGGGGTCCCGGAGCCGACACTAGTAATAGAGTGAAGTGGCCCGGGTATAGAGTTATCAATAGCTCTTCTGAGGCTAGCCAGTTCACAGTTGCCTCTTTCATCCAAGGGAATGAGTGGCTTCCTGCGAGCAACGTTGCTTTCTATGCAGGCTTGAAGTAATAGTCAATGTGTTATGCTAGGGCCTTGATTTATAAGGGATCCTTTGAATAAGGGTTATTCGTGGTGATTGTACTTGAGAGTTTCCCACCCCATTTCTTCCCTAATTTTTTTGCCTCCTATTTATTCTTCATTTGGTTTTGCAAGCTTGCTTTGCTTTTAATAATTATAATAATTGTTAAGGGCCTGAAATTGAGATTGTGAGACCATTTACCCTCGGTACATGGAGATCATAGGTACTTATAACCATCCAATATGAAATTTGATAGCTTGGGTATGTCATAAAGTTCGAAAAAATTTATTTTGAACTTTGAGTTAGGTCAGTGGAATAAATACAACCATCGAATTTTACATCCAATGGTCGAACTTTATTGTGGCCACTTTGTACCAAAAGTAAATGGTTTTTTTTTTTTTTTAATGATGCAAAGGTAAATAAAATTTCGCCAAAGCCATATCTTAGTCCCCTTATCAACATGAGAGAGCACGCACACCTTGATGTCCATTTTCACGTTGTATTCGTGTTAAAGATGTGACTTGAGACCAAATTGTTCATTTATTTGATATTGGGGATCAAATACCTAGGTATGGGAACTAGTTGGATCTCAAGACTTGCAAATTTTGTGTACATTACTCTAAGATTGATTAAAATATGAAAAGGATTCGGAGCTCTGAAATGTGTCTCGATGTAAAATCCGTATGGCGATCAAACTGGGGCTGCCAATTTTCGTGGAAGGCATAATGGGGAATTTTCAGCTAAAAATAAGTTATTTTGAAATTGAGCTTAGGATTCATCAAAGATGTTGGAGAAAGTTATTCCCCTTGAACTAGGTGTTTTGGAGGCAGCCTAACTATTTGATGCCATAGGACCCCTCTCATAATGTTCAAGTCGTTTCATAATTGTAAATGCCCTGAGAATAGTAGATAGTTATGATCCACATGGACATGGCTCAAAGTATAACCTACTAGTTTATCACCATCAAATCAATTGGTTGAATAGCGGTGGAGATAAAGCATAACATGCAATTCACTAATTGAAATTGCATGGTAAGACCCACTCCCTCCCACTTGTCTTAACCCATCATTGATGGGATGGTGATAAAGTCTAGGTCATGAAGTGACCATCCAATATATCTACTTGTAATATGCACGTGGTATTTAAAATTAATCACTGAAACATACTTATCATTAAAAAAATATTTTGAATAAAATGTGATTTTAGATATTATTGAATTTATTTTCATAATTGAATAATTTTATTAAATAATTATATTTTTAAAAAAATTATAAAAAAATAAATAATTCAAATATACTATTTGTGACAACATAAGATTGCATAGAGAGAATAAAAATTTTAAATGAAAGAATTTATCTTTAAAATTGAATATTGTATCAAATAATTATAAATTTCATATAGTATTTTGAAAATATTTAATTAATTCATATCCGTTTGGCATAAATTAAAAAAACATTAAATAATTCAAATTGTATCAATAAAAGTGATAGAATTTAAGTTATATAAATAATAATGAGAGAAAAATTAATAGAGGGTCATTCAAATGCCAATATCAAATATAATAGTCCTTTAAGACATAATAATGTCTTGCTAATACCTATATCCAATATATTAGGCTATTAAGGCATACTTCAAAAGCATTAGCATTGTTATAAAAAAAAATATTTGATATGAACCTATGTACATTGGCCAATACCGAATTTCAAAAAAACAAGTCTTAAGTCTTTATACTTATGGTATTAATAATATTTAATCATTTCTGATGCGAAATATAATTCTTGTTAAATATTAAATAGAATAATTTGTTTGTTAATTAATTATTCTATATATAATATTATGTTGCCTATTAAATAAATATTATTATTGCTTACTGATATATTCTATTTATGTTATCAAATATAATTATTATTCAATAGTATAAAATAGGTCCTCAAGAAAAGGTCAATTTAAAATTTTAAAAATAAAAGAAAGAAGAAAAGCTAAAAATAGTACTATGGTGTGTGCAACTTTTTTTCCAATTTCATTGTGGATATCAGAAGTTGCAAAAAACAAAAACATAGAATAAAAAAAAATGAAAAAAAAATAGTAATATATAACTAACAATAGATAAAAAATTATGTAATATTGCAGATATTACCCATAATTCAGTTTTCACATTAGATCTATGAATCGTGTCAATGGAATCAGTATCCAAAAATAAAAATCCTAATATCAAAGTCAGATATGCAAATGTTATCTGAAATAATGCAAATATTTAATATATAGTACTAACTCAATAATATATATTTTATAATTACCTGAAATCATAGCACCATCGCATAGTTTGAAAAATCCATAATGAAGGCTTAATGTACATTTACGAAGAAATTTACAAAAGCACCTTTATCATCAGAATTATTGCAAATGTTATCCATGTTAATGCTAATATTTATTGTATAACACTAACTCAAGAATATAGTTTTTTTAATTACCTAATGAATAGTCATATTATAATATCCTTTATTTGTTGGAATTTGATTCAATTATTTCATAAAAACAGTTGTCTTCACATCCAATGAAATGAGAACCACAATGATGTTTTGTAGAGCTCCAATTAAGAAATGCAGTTAGGATTTCATTAGATAAGAGATTTATTTACAAAATGAGACACATCGAAAGAAATTATTGATGCTAGATAAAAAATTCATCAATATTGCAAATATTACCCAAATCATCTCGAACAACTTGATCTACGGAGCCTCAATCGACAAAATCATGTTAGGACTTATGTAGATTACTCAAAGATCTACAAAAACAAACAAAATAAACTCAATTGCACATAATATTCTAAAAAAATAAAAATTAATTCCACATAACAACTAAGGAGAACATGATGAAAATGACTGAAATGTACTTGATATACAGAGCCTCAATCAAGTACTTGATCTGCAGAGCCTCAATCAACAAATCACGCTAGAGCTTCTATAGATCACTTAAAGATCTACAAAAACAAACAAAAATAAAAATCAATTCAACATAGAAACTAAGGAGAACTTGATAAAAATAATAAAAAATGTAGGAAAAAACAATGAAAAAATGCAAAAATCATAAATACACAACTAAATATTTATACTAAATTGAACACCACTTACCATCAAAAAATCATAAACAATCAATACACAATCCTATAGCAAGCACGAAATTCCCTAAAAATTGATTAGGTAATGCTTTATAAAATTGATTAGCAAATATCAAGAAAAGCTTCTATATAAGGTCTCGACCTTATACTGTACAGGTAAGGTGCACTTTAAAAATCCACTAGTGAAGGTTCTTCCTATACCAAAAAATCTCAAATTGATCATCTCAACCTCGGTATTTATAGACATGAAGAAAAAGGAATTTCTAGTCCTTAAAAGAGTTCATCTTCTAATACTTTATTTGGACTATCCATTTTCAAGATTTTCAAGTGTTTATTGGTTTGCTTGATTGACACCATTTCTGAAACTTTAAATTTCATAATTGGGGGCAATTATATGTTTTCATATTATTGCAAGGCCTTGTGGCATGAAACTCTATTTCACCCTAGTTTGGAGGTGCACCTGACGTCAATAGTATAAAGTTGACACGTTATACAAACCTTACCCATATAAAATTCCCTAAGAAAAAGATGAACGAGTCTATTACTTGCCTTAATGGAGTCAACGTGGTTTGTATATGTAGGCCTTTGATTTGGTCTATGCTTGATAGATTTAAAGAAAGAGAGAGATGTGATTATTAGGGAGAGATTTACGGAAAGAAGAGAGGGAGAGAAAAATATAACTTTAAGAGAGAGAGAGAATGGGGTGAAATATTTAAAGAAATTTGATTTTTTAAAAAGAGGGGTTACATGTACTTATGTTTTTCATGTAAATTGGAGTGAGAAGAAACGTAAGGGGAAATAGAGAAATACAGAGTTACTTATATTTATGTTATTTATGCATGTAGGAGAGAAAAGAAATGTAGGAGGGAGGTGGAGAGAGATAGAGAATCAGAGTAAATTATATTAATTACATGTTTTATAGTGGGAGTTAGAAGGGTGGAAGGTAAATATATGCATGGACATGAGAGAGAAAGATGTGGGGGAGAGAAAGAATAGAGTTATTAATATACTAAGACACTTCGCACAAGAATATGGAGGCCGTTGCTCTCGTTTAATATATAACAGATATTCTTCCGATCCCATAATGTGACAATTCTTTTTATCATATTATTTTTATTTTTATTTGATGCATCTACATCAGATACATATGTATACATGGCCAGATCACCAAATCTGGAAAGTGGGAGAATGAGAATCCCATGACCTCTCAGAGCATCCCCTACTATGTCTTCTTTGCAAAAGACATGGCGTAAGAGATTCATAGGTAAAAGGCCAATTTGCAGAAGTCATGGAGAAGAAAATTTACAATTACAAGGCCATGTTTGGGATGTTTTCAAAACATTCTTGCAATATGGCCTTAACACGGTGAGAATGCGGGGAAAACAATTTTCACACAATTGTTAAGGGGTTGTTTGGATCCTAGGGTATCCAAAACCATGTTTTGTATTCTATGGTATCTTGCATAAAAACCTGTTTGGTAACTTTTTGGATACATAATCATGTTTTTTGTAATTAAGAAAGAGGACCAAAACATGGGTATACAAAACCAAGAAAAAAATTAAGTTATCCAAAACATTGTTTTGTGTAAGCATTGTGACAATACTATTTTCACTCTCAGCTGCCACTTTGTAAATACAATTAATTATACCAAAGAATCGACATAAATTAGAGAGAGAAACTACCTCAAATTTTAAGTTTTATAGAGACAGTATCTTGAAATTGTAAAAAGAGAAACTATATCAAATTTCAAGCTTTAGAGAGAGAAACTACTTTAAAATTTTAGAGAGAAAATTTATATTATATATTAGAGAGAGAAATTAGCTAAAACAATTTCAAGAGAGAAGCCTTCTAAACAATTTTTAGAGAGAGAAATTATATCAAATTATGAATTTTAGATGAATAAAGTATCTTAAAATTTCGAGATATAAAATATATCAAATTTTAAATAGACAAACTACATGAATTTTTTAGAGAAAAATTATTTCAAGAATTTTAGAAAATAGAACTATATCAAA